TTTTTTGAACCAGGGATTGAACTCAGGGCCTTGTGCTTGCCAGGGAAGTGCTTATTCCACTGAGCCATCTCCCTGGCTCCTCTTTATATATTTTTAAATGCTCTCTCTCTCTCTCTCTCTTTTTAAAATTTATTTATTTATTTATTTATTCATTCATTTACTTGGTACAGGATCTCGTTATGAGGGGGCTGACAAGGCATGCGGCACCGGGGATTGAACCTGGGTTCTTGTGCTTACCAGGCAGGAGCTTATACCCCTGAGCTATCTCCCTGTCCTGGCCTCTATATTAAAAAAAAAAAAAAAAAAAATTGGGGGTGGGGGCAGCAAACTTAGGAAAGCTCAGGGATTGCTGTTCAATCCCTGGCACCATGTGCTGGGCCAGCCTTACCCCCAGGGCGGGCTGGCAGCAGAGTCAGGCAATCCCAGTGCCAGGGAGGCTGAAAGCAGGAGGATCACCACATGTCTGAGCTGTGTAGTGAGACCCTGCGACAACCAAATACATTAAAAAAGTGTGTGATGGGGAGGGGAGACCAGGGAGGAGATAGCTCAGTGGCATAAGCACCTGCCTGGCAAGCAAAAGGTTCTGAGTTTGATCCCTGATACCAATATATATATATATATATATATATATATATATATATATATATATTGGAAGGTGCTGAGTCAGTTTCTGGCTATGTAGTTCAAGCTGAACTCACTATGCAGCCCAGGCTGGCCTTGAATCTGTGTTTCAACCCCTGGTGTGCTGGGATTAAAACCGTGTGCCACCATGCCCAGTTTGATACCAGATTTTAAGTGACATTTAACTTTTATGATCATAGTCTGTTTCCCCCGGAAGGGCTGTGAATGCCACAAAGGCAGGGACTTGTTTGTTTTTGCTCTGCCACACCTGGCAATTAGGAAGCAGGGCATCCTGTGACACCCTGTGTGGTGACGATGTTTGATTCCTTGGCATCAGTGCGAAGCAGTTTAGAGGCTGGGCAGGAGGCAGACTCGGCCCTGGGACCTGTGGTACCAAGTAAGACAGGGCTGTCTGGACGCCAGGCCCCGCTCTCTGCCTCTGAGCACAGCGGTCTGCTTTAGAGGGCCTGGGTTCTAGGCGGGGCTTTCGGCTTTGCATCCAGAATGATGAATTGAGGACAAAGACCCCACCTGCTGGGGTACCGTGACACTGACTGCAGGCTCCATGCAGGAAGCGTGCAAGAGCACCAGGAACAGTGAGCTGTGGGGACTGTCACTGAATTAAACCACACAGCCCCTGTCCTAAAGTGCAGACTGTTGTTCTGCTTCAGAGCTGAGGGTCTGGGTGTTCATGGAGATCCCATGACGGGTCAAGGTCGCGTCTGTCTTAAAAGGTGGTTTAGGTATTTTGGGTGCAAACCCTCTAATTTTGCCATTGCCACTCTGTAATCATTATTTTTAGTTACAAAAATCATACAGCTCATTGTAAAAAAAAAAAAAAAAAAAACATTCCCAGCAATCTACCAAGATAAAAAGGCAGGCAAGAGCATCCTCACTCTGCATTTTTTGCCCAAGGGGACCTTCCTCAGCAGATTTCTTGCTTTTCCAACCCTTTGGGAGACCTCAATCGCAGGAAAACTATGCAAATACTGCTCCGTGGGACCCAGATCAGGAGCTTCCAGAGGCCGTCCTGCCCCGGCTCTGCCACCTCCTGCCAGCCTCTGCTCGTGTGCTCTCAGGGACGGGAGGCTCCTTACTACCCAGAACCAGCTGGCTGGTCTGCAGGTGCCACTGCTTGCCCGGGAGCCTTCTCTATCAGCTCCAAATCGGCTGCCTGGTGACCTCCTGGTTTCAGAGCCTGGGCTCTAAGTGCTTTAGGTACATGAATCTATTTCATCCACAACAACCCCACAAAAGTGGGACCATTATCACCACTGCATATGGGAGAATCGAGGACAGAGTCCTTTGTTCCAGATCCTACAATTTAGAGGGGTGGAGCAGGATTCAGGCTGCATCTAACAGTCCTGATCCGGACAGGGTGAGCAGCTCCCTTGGCTTTGGACCTCACACCAGTCCCAGCCTGAAGCAGGGCTCTGTGTAGGCCAAGCACGAGAAAGAGATGCCCCCCCACTCCTGCCAGCACCCAGCCAAAGTGCCCCCACCAACATACAAACCCCCCCCCCCCCCCGTCTCTAAGGAGAAGGGCTCAAGCTGAGAACATCAGGGGATCAGCCATGACAGCTAAACCCCAAAAGGCTGTGAAGGGACAGTGTCCGCCGCTCACACACCCCAGGGATGGTGGTTTACTGGATTTGATGGAAGCCTGGGGCAAGGGGAATTGAGCTTGGTGGGTCGTCCTGGAGGGTAGGTAAGGGTGACACAAGGGGGAAAGGAGTGCAGGGACAGAGGCGGTCCTCAGGGCCAGACTCCAGGAGTCCCAGCCTCTCTTGAGGAGGGGTGCTGAGCCTGAGCTGGGCGGGCCCACGGACGTGGCCCTGGGTGATCCTTCAGGGCCAAGACTGGGGCAGAGGGGCCGGGGAGATGGCTCAGTGAAATAAGCGCTTCCAGGGAGATGGCTCAGTAGAATAAGTGCTTCCCTGGCAAGCGCAAGGGCCTGAGTTCAATCCTCGGTTCGCCAAAAAAAAAAAAAGAAAATACATCTACTGAAATTTTGGGGCTGGTGAGATGGCTCAGTGGTCTAAAGCACCTACTTAGAACAAGCTAAGCTCAAGCAAAGCACAGAGACCTTGGTTCAATCCCCCAGCACCACATGCCAGCTCGCCCGCCCCCTGGTGAGCTGAGCTGGCCACACAAAAATAAATAAATAAATAAATATTTAAAAAAAGAGGGGACCCAGCCCTAGCTCAGTTCTTTAAGTGGCTGCTTCCACAATGCTGGCAGCCTCAGTTTGCTGTAGTTCGATCCCCACAACACTCCAGCCATGCCAAAGTGCCCTGAAGGCATTCAAGGAGCAAAAAAAAAAAAAAAAAAATTCCTTATGGGGCTGGTGAGATGGCTCAGTGGTCTAAAGCGCCTACTTGGAACAAGCTTGGCAAAGCACAGGGACCGCGGTTCGATTCCCCAGCACCACATGCCAGCCAGCCCTGCCCCCTGGTGGGCTGAGCTGGCCACACACACACACACACACACACACACAAATAAATAAATGTAAAAAAAAAAAATTAAAAAAAAAATTTAAAAAAAATTTAAAAAAAGAAATAAGCGCTTCCCTGGCAAGCTCAACGGCCTGAGTTCAATCCCTGGTTCCGCCAAAAAAAAAAAAAAAAAGACTGGGGCAGACATGGCCAGGACTAAGAGCAGTGGCCAGGAGCGGTGGGTGAATCCTTGGGGGCCTGACCCTGGTGGATGGGCGTGGTCCAGGGGTGAGTGTGACCTTGGTGGACTGGGACTGGGACTGAACTGGGGAGGCCAGAGTCAGGGTGGGCATGTCCAGAGGGTGTGGCTGTGGACTTGTGGTGGGCGTGGCCTGACTCACACCCCGCCCCTAGGATGGCTACATCGACTTCATGGAGTACGTGGCTGCGCTCAGCCTGGTCCTCAAAGGGAAGGTGGAGCAGAAGCTACGCTGGTACTTCAAGCTCTACGACGTCGACGGCAACGGCTGCATCGACCGGGATGAGCTGCTCACCATCATCCAGGTAACTCCAGGTGCAAAGGGCCAGCGGGGCGTGACCACCATTGGGATGCGATGGGAGTGGGAGCCGAGAGTCACGGACAGCTTCAGCCCTCACCAGCGCTGTGATCTCTCCTTGTGGGCCTCAGTGTCCCCATAGGACTAGGTCTCTCACTCTGCTCTCCCTTCCCAGACCATCCGCACCATCAACCCCTGGAGCGACTCGGCCATGAGTGCGGAGGAGTTCACAGATACAGTGTTTACCAAGATCGACGTCAACGGGGATGGTAAGGGCACAGGGACGGGGGTGGGAGTGACCGCCACAGGGCAGGGATCAGCAGGTGTGGGACGGCTGGGGGCACAGGGCAGGCTCAGCAGCCGAGGAGGTCACTGTGGGCATGCAGGACCCTCTACTGGCCACCGCCCTGCCCATTTCTGGCCCAGCTGCAGAACTGGTGTTGGGGACCCCCCTGCTCTTTCCACCCATCTCTGGGCGCTGAACAGCAGGCGTGACCCCGCCCCTTTCTACCCCAGGGGAGCTGTCCCTTGAGGAGTTCATGGAGGGCGTCCAGAAGGACCAGATGCTGCTGGACACGCTGACCCGCAGCCTGGACCTCACCCGCATCGTGCGCAGGCTGCAGAACGGCGAGCAGGAGGACACCGCAGACGATGGGGCAGGGTCAGCGGGCTGAGCCGACTCCTGTATGGGGTGGGAGAGAGGCCCAGGCGGTGCCCTGTGTCCCTTATCTTAACATTACACAGGACCCACCGGCTCACAGGCTCAGCTTTCCTTTTTGGGGTACTTGTGGGTAGAAGAGGGGCCAGAGCTCGCTCAGGGTGGGTGTGGGAGGATAGATCTTGGGACCTCCAGGGCTCTACCTGCTCTGCATCCTTCAGTCCCAAGTGCTAGGAGGGGCGTCCCCCACAGCTCCTAGAGCTGGGCCTCCCTGGGTCTCTGGTAGGTCCTGCAGAGCTGTGGCCACAGCATCAACCGAGGGGCAACAGCACCTCCTCCCCGGCCCTGGAGCCTACCGGTGCAGCTGGCATTGACTTAGCCTCCCTGCCACAAACAGTCCCCGAGCATCTGCTGTGTGCAGTGCAGAAGTTAGCAGACGAAGAAGACAGTTCTAGTGCTCAGGGGAACCCAGTGGGAAGAGCCCAGGGGGAAGCATCATCCGATAGAATACACGGAGCCAAGTTATGAAGTTAGCGCTCTCCGTCATGAGCAGTGGCACAACAGTGACCTTTGACCTTGAAACGTCTTGGGGTTGCATGTGAAAAAGATCACTTGGGGGCGTTCTCTGTGATGTGTGCACCCCGTGGGGCGCTGTGTGATGTGGCAGGGGAGGTTCTGGGAGGGATCCCTTTGGATTCCTGTTCTACTCATTTTACACGTGCCTGTAATCCTAGCACTTGGGATTACTTGGGAGGCTAAGGCAGGAGGATCCATAAATTCAAGGCCAGCCTGGGCTACACAGTGGGATCCTGTCTTAAGAAAAAAAAAAAATTTTTTTTCAGCAGGGTGTGGTGGCGAGCACCTGTAATCACCTGTAATCCCAGCACTCGGGAGGCTGAGGAAGGAGGATTGTTGCGAGTTTGAGACCAGCCTGGGTTACAAAGTGAGCTCAAGGCCAGCCTGAACCACATAGCAAAAGACAAAAACCAAACAAACAAAAAACACTTTTTTTTTTTTTCCCCAATTTTACCAAATTTGAAACAATAGGAGTCATCATGTTCATTTTCAGGGAGCTCCTTCTAGGGGCCATAAGGAAAAACCCACATCTTCTAGAAATGTGTAATCCTACAAGGGCCGGTGCAGCCCCTGGCTGAGTGCATGGAGGGCAGTGTGCACAGGCGCAGGCACGTGTGTGTGCGCATGCGTGTCTGGGCATCCAGACTCCCTGGGCAGGTTTGCTCAAGTTTGGTGTTGGCCCCTGAGTGAAAGCAGGCAGAAGGCCCTCACTGACCCCAGAGGTTCCCGCATCCACGATTGGTGGTTCATGGCGCCCCACGGTTGCCACGGGTCAGCAGCCCATTGCTCATTCCAGATGACGGGCCATCCCTGCTCTGACCTAAACTTCATGCTTTGCTGGGGTGACACAGGGCACTCCTGGGAAGTGGGAAAGCCCATTGCAGGTGGGCTGTCCTGGTCTCCTGTACACCCCTATGCGGAGCCAGCTGAGAGATCTGCAGCCCAAGGCTTCCAGCCACCTGCCTGGTTGCCATGGGAACTTCTGAGTGATGTGGGCCGGAGCAGCTGTGACCCTTTTTTCAGAAGTGCCCTTTCTTCTGGGCTTCAAGTCTTCACTTCAGCTGGGGGAGGGGAAGGAGGCAGGGGAGTAAATAAAAACCCAGGAGTGGGGGAGGAAAAAGGGAGAGGAGAGTGGACTGCGGGTCAGCAGGGGCTCTTCTGGGGCGGGGAACGAGATGGGGGTGCACTGCTGTCACTGCCCAGGACAGGAAAGTCAGCTGGGGCCCCGGAGCTAGGATTTCTGGTCTCTTTCTTTCTTTCTTTCTTTCTTTTTCTTTCTTTCTTTTTTTTTTTTTAATTTTTTTTTGTAATGTACTTTACTTTTTTTACAATATTCTCTTGTTTTCTTTTTTTTTTTAATTTTTTTTTTAATTTTAACATTTATTGTGTGTGTGTGTGTGTGTGTGTGTGGCCAGCTCAGCCCACCAGGGGGCGGGGCTGGCTGGCATGTGGTGCTGGGGGATTGAACCGCGGTCCATGTGCATTGCCAAGCTTGTTCCAAGTAGGTGCTTTAGACCACTGAGCCATCTCTCCAGCCTCTTTCTTTCTTTCTTTCTTTCTTTCTTTCTTTTTCTTTCTTTCTTTCTTTCTTTCTTTCTTTCTTTCTTTCCTTCCTTCCTTCTTTCTTTCTTTCTTTCTTTCTTTCTTTCTTTCTTTCTTTCTTTTTTTATGTCAGATGGGTAATGTGCCCATGTTGTAACAAGGTTTGAGGGAGGCACATCTCATGTACAAGGTATGAACACTCAATCATCACGCTCATGAACCGAAGGATCTCTGGTCTTTTTCTTGCTTGCGGTCTCTTGGGAAATCCTGGAGCTCAGCATTGGGAAGGTGTCACAGAGCCAGAGACCCAATCTTATCCACTGGCCACTGCATGGTGTGGGGCATATTTCTGTCCCATCCGGGATAGAATGAGCATTCTTTTCTGGGTGTGTGTGTGTTTTTTTTATTGGTACATTTTAGACATACATACATTCATCATAGGGAACTTGTACCTGTACATGACATACCTTGCTTCTTGTTTTCCCCATTCCTCTAATCTTCCTTCAACCCCTCTTCCTGTAGAATTAGTTATTTTATTCTTTTGTCTTTTTGAGACAGGGTCTTGGTGTGCAATTCAGACTGGCCTTGAACTCACTTTGTAGCCAAGGCTGGCCTCACATGTACAGCGATCCTCCTGCCTCAGCCTGTTAGGATTGCAGGTGTGCACCACCATGCCCACCCTGCTCCATCAAGAATTAGTATTTTCAACCAACAACTTTCAATCTAAAATTGATTTCTAAATGAGCATCATATGAAAATCATATCTATGAAGACTTGGGTTCTATACATAAATTGTTCTTTTTTATGTATTTAGTACAGGGTCTACAGGGTCTCACTACACGGATTGGACTCGTAGTGATCCTCCTGTGTTCAGCCTTCCAAGCACTGGGATTACAGGCACACGCCACCATGCCCAGTCTCAATTGCCAGCTCAGCGAGCCTTGGGCGTGGGGCTGGCATGGCACGCCAAGGATCAAACCCCTGTCCCTGCATCTGCCTAAGCAGGCGCTTTAATTCACTGAGCTGTCTGGCTGGGCCCCGTTTGTTTGTTTTTTGAGATAGGGTCTCACTATATAGTTTGGGCTGCCCCTGAACTCACTATGTAGCCCAGGCTAGCCTTGAACTGGTAGCAATCCTCTTGCCTCAGTTTCCTAGTGCTGGGATTACAGGTATCCACCATCATGCCCAGCTATATTCGAGTTTTGTATTTTATGCTTCAACATAAAAAAGTATCTAAATTGAAAGTAAAGCAAATGCTACTCCAAGTCCCACAGGAAACTGTCTCAACAAGGTAACCCTGTTTTGGGGTGCTGGTTTCTACTTCCTGTTCTTGGATGAGGCTGGGCTTCTCAGCCCTCTTCAAGTGGAGGGGCTCTCTTTTAATCTGGTTTCTATATTGGAGTTGAACAAAACAATTTCTACAATAACAACAACAACAACAACAATTTCCACACCTAAAAGCAGTAATGGAACAGCTGCTCAGCTAGTAGTCCACCCTGCACACATTGGGGAATGGGGTCCCACACCACTGGAGGCAAAGCCTGGCCCTGAGCCCAGGCCAGCAGGCCCCCTGATGCCTCAGAGACAGAGACGAGCTTCCTCCATCCTTCAAGGGAGGGGTGAAGGTCCATGCTGAAGTGGGGGGCAGGCAGGTGGGGGGAGCCACAGGGATGGAGCCATGGGGAGGGGACAGAGCTGATGTTTGCACTGCAGCCTCCCAGGGCAGAAGAACCCCAGCTGTCTTGCTGTAGTGTTCCCTGGGTGACACCCCAGGGAGGATGCCTGGAGGGCAGTGGGAGCGTCCTCCCTACAGGCACTGCTGGGGGTCTGGGGGTTGTGGCTGTGACCCTCTGACCCACGCCCCACATCCAGCACTTCCGGCCTCTGCTCCCTGTATCTCTGCTTCCTAGAACGCGGGCACTTGCCTTGCTGATCCAGTTTAGGAGACCACTGCCCCCAGCTGGGCCCCGCACCCACTGAGGACTCCTAGAATTGTACGGGACCCCATGTCCTCCAGTGAGGCGCAGTTTCCCAGGCACCCCAGTGTGCCCTGCATAGGCTCAGAACATGGCACTTTTCCGCCTCTGCTGGGTGATCCAGCTGCCAGGGTTCACATCCATCTGCAGCATCTTCATCACCCACTGGTCGCGACGGGCACCTTCGATGAACTCATCCAGAGACAGCTGGCCTGGGAGGGGAGGGGTGGTCACCAGAGTAGGAGGGCCCAGGGCAGGGGCAGGTACAAGGCAGGCCCAGGGACCTGCTCTCCTGGAACCCTGCACCTCCTCCACACCCCTAAGCCTCTAGTTGTCCCACCCTTGGATTTCCCAGGAGCCCCTGGGATCCTGGAGGCTTCCTCAGCAGATGAACTGCGGTTTTCCTGTTGCCCACAGCCCCTCTGAAATTCTGAAATGCTGAGACTCGAGAAAGCTTAAGGAAGTTCTCCCTACTTGGTGGTGGTGGTGTGTGTGTGTTACTGGTGATCCAACCCAGGACTCAGGGTCTTTGCATTGAGCTATCTTCCCAGCTCATTTTATCTACTTAAAGATAGATTTTTCTGAGACAGGTTTTCATTATATAGTTCAGGCTGGTCTCAAACTCCAGCCGATCCTCTCGCCTCAGCCTCCCTAATGCTGGGGCTGCAGGTGTGCGCCCCCACACCCACACCTGCTTGGCTCTTGAACACAACCCATCAGTTCTCTCGGCCACCTTCATCATCCCCATCTTCTCGGTAGGGACACAGAGACCAGGCCAAGGCCCACAGTCGCCCTGTTTTCTCCATGCAGCCTAGTTCAACGCCAGCGCCCAAGGTGCCCTTTGCTGTTTCTCACCATCCTCCCTGCTGCTAGTTCCCAAAGAAGGTTTCAGGGTAGGAAGTGGGGCCCTGGGGTGCTGCGGAGTGGGCAGCTCATCCCTGCCCCTTTGCTCACCATCCCCGTTCTCGTCCACCAGGAGGAAAATCCTGTCCACAACCTCCTCTGGGGTGAGCAGCTCCCCGTTCTTGTCCTTGGCTGTCTCCACCCGGCAGGCTTTCTTTAGCTTGTAAATCGACTGTGAGGGGAGAACATGGCTGTCCTGACCCTGCAAGCCCTGCCCCACCTCACGGCCCAGCAGTCCCCAGAGCGACTCTGAGGCTGGCCCAGGCTGTGCCAGCCAGATTCAAGTCTTCAGCAACACCCTCAGGTGACAACCGGACGCCCTGCCCCACCCTGACCCCATTCCACTGGTCATCTGCACCACCATGGAGACACAGGGAGACCCTGAGCAGATCCGCAGCTGTCACACTGGTGTCCCAGGGATGACTGACACAGGTGTCAGCGTCTCCTACTACCTCCTCCACCCTGAGACAGCGTTTGTGACACCACAGCATGCAGATACAGGAGGGACAGAGGCATCCGAGGGCCTTCTCAGCTCCCGCCTGGTGCTCTCAGGACAGAGGCCCCTCGCCTTGCTCTCCTGCCTCCCTCAACCCAGCATTTGCTGCATAGGCAGTGACAACCTCTGAGGGGCCATTTCCCACCTCACAGCAACTCCGAGATCAGTCCACTCACACAGGCACCCGGAACTGGGGATGCCATACCACCCTCCTGCTAAGCTACTGCCTGGGTAGTGTTAAAAGCACAACTTGCGGGTGGGGGTGGGATTGCAACAGGGGCTCACTATGCAGTCCAGGCTGTCCTCAAACTCCCTATGGAGCCCAGGCTGGCGGAGATCCTCCTGCCTCAGCCTCCACAGTGCTGGGATTACAAGTGTGCGCCACCACAACTACCTTCATACATACATTTTTAAAGCCATGCACTTCTCTGCAAGGTCAGATTTACGTGTGCTGTTTCTGCATTATTACCCGGTTCAAAATACTGCGCGTGTGAGTATGTGTGTGCGCGTGTGTCATTGTCCACCTCAGCTCTCCATAACTGATTTCCAGCTGGTGGCCTCTGCAGTCAGAAATCACCTTCCGAAGGATCTCAGTGCCCTCCCAGCCCCAGCCTGGAGTGACCTCTTCCCCTGCACATGGAGAGCCCCAGTGCCCGCCCACCTCCACGATGTCCAGCAGCTCTAGGCGGTCGATGCAGCCATTGCGGTCCTTGTCGTAGATCTTGAAGGTCCAGCGGAGCTTGTGCTCCAGTGAGCCCCGCAGCACGAGATTCAGGGCCGCCACATACTCCAGGAAGTCGATGGTGTCATCCTGCGTGGGATGAGGTTGGCTGAGTGCTGGGAGTCCTGTAGGACTGCTGGCTGCGCAGAGGCTAAGCTGCGCTTTCCTCTGGGTCATCAAGAGGGGCACTTCTGCTTGCCACTCAAGGTCTACGTTTCCCCTTCTTCCTCCCCTCCTCCTCTCTTTCTTTTCTCTTTTCTTTTTTTTTGGCGGAACTGGGGATTGAACTCAGGTCCTTGCGCTTGCCAGGGAAGCGCTTATTCCACTGAGCCATCTCCCCGACCCCCTTTTTTTTTTCTCTTTCCTTTTTCCTTCCTTCCCTTCCCTCCCCTCTCCTTTCTCTTTCACTATATAGGTCTCACTATGTAGTTCAGGCTGGCCTTGAACTCTTTTTTTTTTTTTTTCGGCAGAACCAGGGTTGGAACTCAGGCCCTTGCACTTGCCAGGGAAGCACTTATTCTACTGAGCCATCTCCCTGGCCCCTTGGCCTTGAACTCTTTATGCAGCCCAGGTTGGTCCTTCAGTGATCTTCCTGCCTCAGCCTCCCAAGTGCTGGGATTGCAGGCATGTGCCATCCGACTAGAGCTACAGACTCGTCCAGATGAAGTTCCCTGATATGAAGGTTGCACCCAAGTGAGGAATGGAGAGGGTGAGGGTTTGGAGACAGAGACCGAATGGGAAAGAGAAAGCTTTCCCGGTGGCTGGTGGAGGAAGCGAACGCCTTCTGGAAGCTCTTCACCTCAGAATGCCAGCTAATGGACAGAGAGGGGGGTGGCTTTAGAAAACTATCAAACTTGGGAGCTGGGCGCTGTGGTACATGCCTGTAATCCCAGCACCGGGAGGCTGAGGCAAGAGGATTAGCTGTGAGTCCAGGCCAGTGCGGGCTACAGAGTAAGTTCGTGGCCAGCCTGCGCTACGTAGTGAGGCCTTGCCTCACAACACAAACAACCCACCACAAAATCATTTTGGGGGCGCTAGGGATATAGCTCAGTGACACAGTACCTGTCTGGCAAGTGTAAGGTTCAATTCCCAGCACCACAAAACAAAGAAAAAAACACCACTTTTTAATTTTTTAAAAATTTTTTTTTAATTTTTAATTTTTTTTTTTTTCTTTTTTTGGTGGAACTGGGGATTGAACTCAGGCCCTTCCGCTTGCCAGGCAAGCGCTTATTCCACTGAGCCATCTCCCCGGCCCCTCAAAAACACTTTTTATCTTTTTTTTTTTTTTTTTTTTTTTTTTTTTGTGCAGTTCTGGGGATTGAACTCAGGATGTTGTGCTTGCCAGGCAGGCACTTACTCTTCAGCTATCTCCCAGCCCTAACACTTTTTTTTTTTTTTTTTTTTTGGTGGAACTGGGGATTGAACTCAGGCCCTTGCGCTTGCCAGGGAAGCGCTTATTCCACTGAGCCATCTCCCCGGTCCCCTAACACTTTAAAAAAAAAAATTTATTGAATGAGACAGTTTCAAAACTGATTACTAGGGGCTGGTGAGATGGCTCAGTGGTCTAAAGCACCTACTTAGAACAAGCTTAGCAAAGCACAGGGACCGCGATTCAATCCCCCAGCACCACATGCCAGCAATCCCCGCCCCTGGTGGGCTGAGCTGGCCACACACACACACACACACACACACACAAAATAAATAATTAAAAAAAAAAAGAACTGTGTTAAACTTAAAAAAAAAACAAACTGATTACTAGCACAGTTTGAATAATTAATACATTGGGGGTCAGGGAGATGGCTCAGTGGAATAAGTGCTTGCCTGGCAAGCGCAAGGGCTGAGTTCAATCCCCGGGGCTGCAAAAAACAAAACAAAACAAAAAACATTACATATTGTTGTCATAGTGGTTATTCATTGTACAAGATACATACATGATATCCTGTCCAGAAACACTATTAGAACAACTTTCTCTATTCCGAACACTTTTCATCTAACTGCCCTTCCCTGCCTTCCTAAGGTGAAGGTAAATAGCACCTGATTATGTGGCCTTGGGCAAATCAATTTTGTTTCTTCTGCCCTGGTTTTCATTGCCCTGTCCCCCAAAGAGCTGCAGCTTGGGGAGGGCCTAAGGAGAGGAAAGGGCAGCTCTGAGCCCTGGGAGGCCCACAGGGCCCATCTCCTAGGGGTGAGGGGTTCTGCGTGGTTCTGTGGCATAATGACACTGCTGCCCTCCCTCCCCGGGGACCAGGGATAGGTGCAGACCAATGGCTTTCCAAGCTTCTCCACTTTGACCCTCAGGATTCAATGCATCCCCAAAGCAGCAGGTGGGAGCAGGAATTGAAGACAAACTAAAGGATTGTGGGGGCCTGGGCTGGATAAACTGGGGTGGCCAAGGGGTTTTCATTGGGGTGGATTTCCACATTTCCCCAGAAGTGAGTATCTTCTTAGCTGCAAGTGTCGTTGGAAGGTTTCAGAAATGCCTGGGGTTTGCTCTATTTTGTGAAAGAGAAACAGGAAAGCGCTCCTGCTATTATCCATCCACACCCGCGACAGGAAAATGCAGCCAGTCTGTTAGAAGGACCCAGCGAGGGAAGAAGGACAGAGCCCTGCCTGCCTCACGGGAGCTACCAGAGGGTGTGAAAGCCAAGTCTTTTTTTTTTTTTTTTTTTTTCTGTCTTTTTGAGAGTCTTGCTATATAGCTCCGGCTGTGCTTGAGCTCACTTTGTAGCCCAGGTTGGTCATCTCCAATTCCCAATGATCCTCCTGTCTCAGCCTCCCCAGTGCAGGGATTAGAGGTGTGCACCACTGTGCCTAATTACAGTACACTTTTTTTTGGTCCTGGGAATGGAACTGGGTACCTTATACTTGCCAGGCTGGTGCTATGCCCCTGAGCTGTATCCGTGGTCCTGAAAGCCAGGTCTTTGGGCTGCAGAGCCTTGGTCAAAATTCCCCACAGAGAAGCCAGGCCCAACACCACCACCTCCAGCGATGGGGAAGGGGGCTGGGGGACTCAGTAGCAACGGCCCAAGGAGGGCCAGGGGTATGGGATGAGCTGGGATGAGAGGGGGGCTTGGGGAAGGAGTGATGCAGGGATGGGTGGGCGCAGGTGGCCCGGCCAGGGGTCCCTCTGGACAGTCTTACCCCGTTCTTGTCAAAGGCCCGGAACATGCCCTCCACATACTGGCTGGCACTCTCGTCGTCCGTGACCTTGAAGAGGCGCTTGAACTCGTGCATGAAGAGCGTGCCGCTGGGACACTCCACCACGAACCGCTTGTACCACTCCTGGAGCTCGGCCACGTCCATCTCGCCGGCCTCCGACTCCTCCCAGCTGAATTGCTGCCCCATCTTGGCCCGGGACGTCGTCGACAGCGGTCTCCTCGGGGCCTCCCAGATTCTGCAGACCAGGGCGGTGTGTCTCCCTCTCCTCTGCTGGTCCAGCCTCTGCGTGGTGTCCTGCTGACTGAATGCTGTAGGCAACGTGAATGGGGATGGGGGTGCCCCCACTAAGCTCCTCTAAGGCCATTAGGAGATTCCCCTGCAGGGCTGACCTCCCGTGAGGAGGCCCCACCCCCGCCCCAAGAGGGCAAAGAGGACGGAATAAGAGCTAGGCAGAGGAGCAGCACGAGGATGCGGGCACCTGGCAGCTCCGCAGCGGCCCAGCCCGGACACCGACTGAGGGTAGACGGAAAGGAAAAGCAGAGAGCCTGGCGGTGACCAGGGCCTCAGCCCATGTCTAGTGAGACGCAGCAGGGTCTCTGACGGGAGGCGGGTCCCTGAGGCAGCTAGGCTGCAGCCCCACCTAGGAAGCACCCTTGAGCCTTAGAATTCCTTTGTTTTTCACTTTCAAGCCCAAGTGCCCCCTCAAGGACTCCATACCCTCTGTTCACCCGTATTAAAACAGAACAATTTTGTGTGGTAGTGCACTCCTGTAATCTCAGCACTCAGGAGGCTGAGGCAGGAAGATCGAGGGTTGGTTTTTTAGGTTTCTTTTGGCGGAACCTGGGATTGAACTCAGGCCCTTCCACTTGCCCCACAAGCGCTTATTCCACTGAGCCGTCTCCCCAGTCCCAAGATCGAGGGTTTGAGCCCTAGGCAACTTAGTGGTTTAGTGAGACCCTGTCTCAAAATTAATTAATTAATTTTTATGGTACCGGGGATTGAACTCAGGACCTTATGCTTGCCAGGCAAGCACTTATTCTACTGAACTATCTCCCCAGGCCTCCCTGTCTCAAAATTTAAAAAACTTAAAAGGGCTAGGGATATAGCTGAATGTCAAGGCTCTGGGTTTAAGCCTTAGGACTGAAAACACAAAAGCAAAAACAAACAAACAAACAAACAAAAAAAGAAAAGAGATAGATTTCTGGGCGGGCCAGATAGCTCAGTGGATTAAAGTGCCCGTTTAGGCAGAGGGACCAGGGTTCCATACCCATGTATGCCTGTATGCATGCTGGCCCTACCCCCGGGGACGCTGAGACCTTCCTGAGACTGGGCGTGCTGGCGCATGCCTGTAATCCCAGCACTTGTGAAGCTGAAAACAGGAGAATCACTGCGAGTCCCATCTGTGTGGTGAGACCCTTTAGACCCTGTACTAAATATGCTAAAAAAAAGATTCCCCCTCCAAAAAAAAAAGGGTAGATTTCTGCCTGCCTATCTCAGGACCTTCTCCAGGAATGCAATCACTAGGCACATGGGGGGGGGGGGGAGAGACAGAGAGAGAGAGAGAGAGAGAGAGAGAGGCCACCTACTGTAGCTGACACCAGGCAGAGCAGGAGCTGTTCCTATGGGTCCTGCAGATTGGTGTGCCAGTGAGTATTGTCACTGTTCTAGGCCACTAAGCCTTGGATGTTTTCTAAGAAAGCAGTGGATGACCACAGTACTCTCAACCCTTTCTGCATCTTCCTTATCTCTGAGGCTTGCCTCAGCCTGCTCTCGATGCTGTCCCTCCCTGCCTTTGCCGGAAACCCAGGTCTCTCTTGTGGACTTCTGCTATACTCCAGGCCCAAGGCCCTAAACTCCTCTGCCACCCAGATCCACTGATGCCCCTGTGCTCTATTAGCTCCTCTTAGCATCCATTTTTTTTTTTTTTTTTTTTTTTGTTTTTGGGATTGAATTCAGGTTCTTGGGCTTGCCAGGCAGGCGCTTATGCCACTGAGCCATCTCCCCGGCCCCAACATTCATTTCTGAGGGCTCAGTGTCCCCACTTTTCCAGTTTCCCCTTATACCTTGCTGTCCCTCATGCC